TATACTATATATATATATATATATATATATATATATATATATATATATCATCACTATCATCTGAGAAAAAGAGATTTCTTGCAAATGAAATCATAGGAATTACGCCATGATAACAAACAAACCTACTCCCAACATAGCCGTCGGACGAGTAGAAGTATTGATGTTTACCTTTCTCCGCTGGACAGGTGAATATCAGCCCGTGTCTCCTGTTGATACGTTGCAGGAGAAGTCTGTCCCATCGTAAGCATTTTCCGTTTCCTGTCGTTTGGCTTCCGTTGGTAACCGACTACGATATAGACAGAAATATCTTCACACCTTGATTGTTTCTCATTTTGAATGAAAGGACACACACTGACAACGGCTGACCGTAGCGCTCAACGAAACTTGAGAAAATTGAATACCGTTGCTTCCAATGGACTAGCTGTTGTAAATTCATATTGACGTAGATAAATGGCAATATCGAGCTACACCTTTTCTGCAGTATAACTAATTTTGCTTAATCGCAGGCATGCGCGTCGCGCTAGTTTTCGGTGCGCAATGGTTGACACTAACGAGAAAAGAATATTCCAGTGTAGGCACCCTGAATCCCTCAAGAAGCTGTTAATTGTTGCCAGAAATATAAAAGCACTATAGGCAGATATAGATGTCATGTAGTACGTGTCTGTATATGTTACTACGTTTTCGTCGGTAATCACGCAACAGTAATATCGCAACGATTCGAGAAGACCGCCATAAAAGAATTCTCAAAATTAAAATTTTATAAGATTGTAGATATAAAAGCCGGTCAGTGATCCGGTAGCAGCTACGCATAGTCACCCCCACGAACCGTCGCTAGGACTAGATCTACAGACGGTGAGAGAGTGTATATTAAATCTACCTATTGTTATTTTTGTGTAGTCTCAAAAAATTTTGATTGCCGAGCATATCCTTGTTTTAGGTATTGGCAAATGATACAGTTCTTAAGCTCATCGATGGAAGGAATTTCGATGGTTCGGGATGATTTGATGATTGTGCACGTTAATTGATCCGCTTGATAAGTATAGTCAGTTCACGCCTAATACCTTAAAGCGTTTATTCTATTTATACCATATGGTATACGTTATATTAAACGGCATGCGAATTTGCTCTCATACAGAATTCAACAGAAGGCTCACCTCAGCCTGCAACGTCAGCAGTACGAAGAAAACCAGAGCAAACACCACGGATCTAGGAACAGAGATCATAGCGTCCAGAAAATGGTACTAGCTCTGGTAACGGCGACCGTAGCAATGTCACTAGTAGTACGGACTACTACAGAGCACCACCGGTGCTATAATGTAGGCAAGAAACAGACGCAGCGATGGACACATTCAGAGCGACTCTATGCTTTATGGTTGAGCGCCATCCGTCCACACACAGACTTACACATACACCGACAGACACAGCTGTTACCACGGCATGTTACCATCGCAGTATCAGCTGCATCGTGAATTTTCCCACAAGTGGACAACCTTTCCAACTGGTTATTGCTCGCTGTAGGCGTATACGCAAGTTATCGTTGAGTTTCATGATGAGATGCTCGTATTTATGCTCACAAATACTAGCATTATTATTACATTTAACTTGTGTTGTTTGTAATTCATGCTGTGAAGACAATGCCCATGAGTTCCACGGCTATAACTCGTACTATAATACATGTATATGGGCATTGTGTATAATTATAGAGAATTCTCGGCTATATTTACCTACTACAGCGCTTTCTAAAAGAAGAACAAAGAAACCCCCGCATGCGAGATTCCCTATGAAAAAACACACAAGTAAGGCATATCTGTTGGACGCACAACCGATATTTCTGTAGTATTTCTAGGAACCTACTGTGTTTGTTATCTCTATAGATATAGGGAATATACATATACATGACCTTATCACGATAATGGGCTTGTTGAAACGCTCTGTTGTAGCAGTACGACTTATAAAAGTGAACAGCTGCCTGTTATGTAACAAACGAGAGTCTTCGGATGATATTCTGAACACGTGTTTAATGCTTTGATTATAGTTAAACACGAGAACAACCTTCATACTGACACGACGTTTATATAACTTCTGGTAAGAACCGATACAAACTTTAAGGAAAATAAGGCGGAAATAATTGCTGAATTATCGAGACAGTCATTCATACTATGCGCACGAACCTTCACCGATGAATGACCTATGAATGTTTATTCGACAATTATGAATACAAGGTGGCGATGAGAACAGCAATAATGATGACGATGATGATAAGACCACATGTCAAAATATTAAAACATTTCAACGTCTCCGACGTAGTAATAGATTTACCCCACTCGCTATGGCCAGGCTATAGTTAGTACGAATTAATATTCTACGCGATCAGATTGATACTTAACGTGTGACGTGTTCATTGTAGAAATATCTTAATACAGCATATATAGCCATAGAAATAAATAATACGAATTTTAAGTAGTATATAACAGCTAAGTAGATGAGATTGTTTAGAACACGTCAAGAAACTTCGAATTTTATATCCAGTAAACTTAATAGCCCAACGAAGAAGGAAAGGGCAATAGCTATACAATTTATTATTGCAGTTCTTTCTCGCATGTTCGCAATAAACTATTAACTGAAAATGGTATATAAATTGTTTGGTTAAATAACGATAATCATACCCTTTAAATCAAGCAACAACTCAGCACCTTCAGGTTGACCATAAACGATGGTAATGTTGTGAGGTCTTAAGGTGGTTAAAATCAAAATGTGGGCCCTAACAAGACAACTGTGGGGGCGTGACAATTTTTGAGTGATCAGCTTGATAATAACTTGTATAGATAAGAGATTTTTTAAAGATGATATTAAAATTGTGCTGTCTGGTTCATTATAAGTAATGTAATCTGTAGTTTTAAACCCCTCCTTTTAACAAGAGACACTCACTGACTAATTTTTTAGCGGCCGCTGCACGGGCGTACTCACGGTGATCTTTTTAACCATTCGTCTCTCTTAAATTATATATGGCCGCAAGCGCTGTAGCGCGCGTGCACTCTGGTGGACACTTGCTGAACTACCAAACCCATAATACACGCCCGCTGCCTGCCTCATTATCGTAGAGAATCATGCATCATATTTCATCTTTACTCTTTCTATATAGCTTACTTTATGCTACCCGACCGATTCCGCTCATACTTTTCACCTTGTCGATATAGCGCAGGCTACCATAGCCGGAAAACTTACATTGGTCATCTCTGAACCAAATAACGTTATAAGAAATTATTACTCGTGGGGAAAATACCGATAAAATTTTATATAATAGCGTTGATGGTTATCTAATAGTGATTCTGTCAACAGATTCGCCGCTAAAGACAAACGCACGATATTAGAGTTATGATCCCTATTCGCAATGCGGTCTAATTCGGGCGGATCAAAACTGTAAGACGTATCTCCCATATCAATCTACATGATACAGCCGAGAGAATGCAGGCAAATATAACTAGATGCAACATCATCACGCTGCAGCCACAGAGCCCTGCCTCCGTAGAGTTACGATATCGTATGTAGAAAGCAGCGAACTCGTCCGAGGTTTGCCAGACGGATCAGATACGTTACAGCAACTTTTCACCCTGGCTCACGTGGCTACATATTGGCTATCTCTGCAACCCTCCCCCCGTAAACGGCGCATTGACCGTAGAGCGGCAACGAAAGACGGGAAAGGCGTGTTGTGTTATGCGATGGGCGGCACTGCCTCGATCGGTCCCGCCGTGCCGTACGGTTCATGTTGCTGTGAGAACATCACGATCTCGTCATCAGTCTTTCTTCGTCCTCGCCGCAGCTTAACCATCAGCACGGCACACGACACTAGCGCCACGACGAGCAGCGACGAGACGATGGCGATAGTTGCGGTGTAATGCGCCTGGCTCGAGCCCACCGCCGTCGCTGCCACCTCGGACCCGGTAAGCTGCTGCTGCTGCTGATGGTTGGACCCTGTTAGGAAGAAGACGAAGAACGGCGACATCATTAGATAAGAAAACACACCATGGCATCTTTGGTGTAAGAAAAACCAATTTTTAATCGGATCGCCTATTGGAAATTTCCCATTTCTAATATTGCAACATGTTTAAATTTTATGTTGCAAGATGTGCTAGTAATCGCCATTAGTTGGTAAAACAGCTATCCGGCATTTACTAACTGACAGGAGTTAAAGATGGATTATGAACAATAATCGCACAACAAGATGAGCACAGAACTATGTGATCATATAACGCACAACGTCTCAAATATCAACGAAGATCGCCCATAGTAGTAAAGAACACAGTAATGTTTAAAGGAACAGTAGCCTCTAGGTTCTAGGGTTATTTTCAGCTAATTTAGGTTATAATTGCGCTACATAAAAAGTTTCATGGTTCAATCACCATTAGAAATATTTTTTTTAAATGTTTTAAAACTAACGACTACAGTTTGATTACAACGACGGTGGCGCCACTCAAAGCGCACGATCTGAGAAGTTACGCAAAACCACTTTCCAGCCAAGGGCTACAGACCGAGGGTATTTCTTATTTATTCATTTAAAAGCAAAAGGATTGTAATATCTTATAAACGACATATAGTTTCAGTTATAATATGGATAAATTTGCCCTAAAATGAATATCGTTCGGTTAAATAGCATTTAGGTATAAATATAATTGCACTTTTGTGATTAGCCCTCGGTCATTTACCTGCAAAATAAAAATGCAAATACGCAACTTTTTCAGGGTAGCAGCACGGTCGCGGGTGACATGGCGCCGTTCAAATTTCGTAGCGTTGATGTGTAAATAATTAATTAAGTATCTGGTGACAAATACATGTGGGTATAGACGATTTGTTATACAGTAAGTACAGTTGTATGCAGTAAAATCCTAGAGGCTACTGTCCCTTTAAATATATAGCATAAATATAGTAAAGCTTATTTACCACATAGTAAAGTTTACACGCAATGTGCCAAAGTTTGCGTACACTATGGTAAAGTTAACGCACAGTATAGCAAAGTGCGTTACCAGAAGATCAAACAAGGCGAGTGCGGGAAATGCTGAAGTAAGTAACAACAAAGCTACCGGCCTGGACCTGCTGCTAAGGTCATCTATGACCGCTGAACTACATTCCTTGTGTCCTGTACGTTCGCAGGAAGTAGGCCTACGCGGGCGTATATTTATCATTGTGCGGTCATTTGCACGCTACGCTACAATCGTGGCTATATATCCGCCCTTTCTACAGGAGCACGAGATGAGTGAACTTTGTGCACGGGGCTGAATTGTACGCGGGCGTAAGGTCGCAGTGCGTGAGTTCACTCATGTGTAGAAATCGCGGCCGACCGGTCTACAATGTCAGCTGAGGTATGGCTCAGGCGTGTACAGCGTAGCTCACCTGAACGTGTGTCACACTTCGCCGGCTCTCCGGTCAAGGCAGCGGCGACTGTTTCATACAGCGTTATGACTGTCGTTGGATCGGAGAAGGTTGCCGGGTCCTCTTTATCATGGAGACAGTGCTAGACATCGCGCAAATATACGGCAATATATAGTGACGTGTACGCCCTTATTAGAGTCTACTGTATGTTAAAGAAACCTGTGAAAAATGTATTCTTGACACAGAAATGCTATGTTACGTGAAATTATAACGCAATGTAGACCTGCGCACACGTGTTTATCATGGTTTATGGTATGTTAGAGTAAGCATTAAAAGGGTATCTTTGACACCGTGCTAAACATATAATATGATATATACCTAATATCATTACATATAATGCATAATGCAAACATTATATAGGAAGATATGCGTGTTCACCGCGGCCCGGTATCTGTTAGAGCAACCATCGAAAGGGTCATTGAGATTTTCTAAATATCTAAAACCTAAGCTATCAGAAGAACATAGGAAGTGGCTTAGCAAGCCTATACAATAGAAATTCGAAATTTATGTCCGCCTCCTATAATGCCCTGTTGATACTATGATTATACTATATAATGAGATGTATATCTATACCGTGGTTCTGTAATTTCTGTAAAACGTTCTGAACACCAATCTAATGTAGCTACCTGCTCTCAGGAAGTAGCGCGATTTTGATAAACCCGCCATGTCACTCAATCACTCATAAAATAAAATTGTAATTTTTCAGTATATCGCCGAGGATAATCAGCTACTACCAATCGCAAGAATATGTGTGGTGGCTACCAGTCTATATCATATAATTACTCACCTCTGAACACCGGCCCGAGCACAAATCTACGGCGCAGAAGAAGTAAACAACTGGCAGATCGGGATATTTGAACGTTTCCAGCTCCATGTAAATCACCGTGTTACCCTTGTCGCGTATCTTTACTGGTCCCTTCGCAACGCGTGTGCTTAATACACACCTTCAGACAAAAGTTAAGATGACTGTTTTATTCACTTATTATTGGGATACGACACGATGTTGCTGCAATGAAGAATAATAATGTAATATGTGTATAATGTTAATTTCGTGCTATGACGCTTTCTACAATCGGTTGCTATTTTGAAATATTATTATTAATGCGATTCTAATTATTTATAAATAATTAATACTTTAATATTAAATAATAAATTATTATTCATGTAATTATATTAAACAAGCGACGAGCCACTAAAACTGTAATAAGACTAAAGAGTAACGAGAAAGTAAACACTTGGACGGATACGATTTATGCTTACTTTTCGTCATCTATGATGACTTCCCTCCGCACTTCTATCCCGTCATACACTTCGCACCTCCCAGCGCTAATGTCCCATTTTCCTGGAAAAAAAACGTGAATTCTGTGATACTTTCCTACTTGTGCATCGCTACGTGCCTTCATTGAACCGACTCATCTGTAACTTTTATTTTCAGAGTAATGAATATCATTGTGACGGATGATTCCTCCAGTTCTATTTATAGTATCGGCGCACTGCCTTTGATTATGTTTATATAAACTATCTTTTTCTATCGCTTTTTCTTTCTTTCTCTCTTTCTCTTCCCCTTCTCTGTTTCTCCTCTCTCTCTCTCTCTCTCTCTCTCTCTCTCTCTCTCTCTCTATCTCTGGCGTGCTCCTTCTCTCTCTCTCTCTCTCCTTCTCTCTCTCTCTCTCTTCTCTCTCTCTTTCGCTTCTCTCTCTCTCTCTCTTCTCTCTCTCTCTCTTCTGTCTCTCGCGCTCTCTCTCGCTTTCTCTCTCTCTCTCTCTCTCTCTCTCTCTTCTCTCTCTCTCTCTCTCTCTCACTCTCTCTCTCTATATATATTATATATAGTATATATATATCTTTTCTCTATCTCTATCTACTCTCTATCTCTATCTCTCCTGCTCTCTCTCTCTCTGCTCTTCTCTCTTCTCTCTCTCTTCTCTCGCCCCCGCCCCCCCCCCCCCCCCCCCCCCCCCCCCCCACCCCCCCCTCTCTCTCTCTTTCGGCCTCTCTCTCTCTCGTGCTCTCTTTCGCTCTCTCTTTCTCTCTCTCTCTCTCTCTCTCTCTCTCTCTCTCTTTCTCCTTCTCTCTATCTCTTGCGCGTGCTCTCTCTCTCTTTCTCTCTCGCGCTCGTCTCACATCTCGCTCTCTCTCTCTCTCTTTCTTCTCCTCTCTCTCTCTCTCGCTCTCTTTCTTCTCTCTCTAACTCTCTCTCTCTCTCTCTCTCTCTCTCTTCTCTCTGCTCTCTCTCTGCTCTCTTTCGCGCCTCCCCCCCCCCCCCCCCCCCCCCCCCCTCCCCCCCCCGCTCTCTCTCTCTTCGCTCTCTTTCTTCTCTCTCTCTCTCGTCTCTCTCTCTCTCTTTTTTTTCGGCTCTTCTCTCTCGTGCTGCTCTTTCGCTCTCTCTTCTCTCTCTCTCTCTTTTCTCTCTCTCCTCTCTCTTTCTCCTTCTCTTTATCTCTTGCGCGTGCTCTCTCCCTCTCCTCGATTTCTCCTTCTCTCTATCTCTTCGCGTGCTCTCTCTCTCTCTCTCTCTCTCTGCTCTCTCTCTTCTCCCTTCTCTCTATCTCTTGCGCGTGCTCTCTCTCTCTCCCCCTCTCTCTCTCTCTCTCTCTCTCTCTCTCTCTCCTCGCGCTCTCTCTATATCTCTCACTCTCTTCTCTCTCTCTCTCTCTCTCTCTCTCTCTTCTCTTCTTCTCTCCTCTATCTTCTCTCTCTCTCATCTGCGCTCTCTTTCTTCTCTCTCTCATGCTCTCCTCTCTCCATCTTTCTTTTCTTCCTTTCTCCCTCTCCCTGCTCACTCTCTCTCTCCTATCTCTCGCTCTCTCTCTCCTACTCTCTCTCTCTCTCTCTCTCTCTCTCTCTCTCTCTCTCTCTTCTCTCTCTCTCTCTCTCTCTCTCTTTCAATGTACTCGCATCATGAGTCGTATTTTAATGCAGTAATTGTTGACGAATCAATAGATGAATTAATGCTATTAAGATTGTAAACTGACGGTTAAACTAAGACGTTGGGGTTGATGTCAAATACTAACATTATGAATCTCTTTACTGAGAATAGATTCCAATATGTATCTGTTTACGTATGTGCGCACGAGTGTGCACGTGCGTGCGTGCGAATGCACTAATAGCTAACTCTTAACCTTAAATAATATTTCTTACCTTTATTTTCCAGCGTTATCACGATAGTGGATGGATCTCCGACAATCAGCTTGTTGGCAGCAGGTGCCATCGGGTCCCGTCCTTGCACGAGCTTCATCGTCACCTGCGGGACGTCAGCCGCATCGTTCGCAGGTTCTGCCTCTCCCGTGGTGCAGCTGATGTCAATGATCTTGTCTCCTCGGCCCAGCATCCCGGACTCGGCATCGTGCATGACAACGAGCTTGTTGCTGTAGATCGTCGACTTGCCGTTCACAACCTGCAAACATTTGTCAACATTTTTTGAAGTAACACGGCGATTTAGATAGAATTCGCGCGTTCTCTAATGCTTGCCGGGTTTATACGTGTAAATAATACTGTGATGATGATGATGATAAAACGTATGAACTACAGCCGTAAATGCAACGACCGTGTATATTTAGTTACGTTACACAACCGACTGCTGCCGCATTTAGGCATATTTCGCCTTTTGTGATCCAAGAGTGAAATTTTGCGGAAGAATTTATAATCGGGTAGCACATGCAGCAAGCCTTTAATTTGTCTAACATTATGTGTTACCGCACAGCATATGTAGCTATAATGAGATGAACGGTAATTTCACGAAATTATAGCGTGAACACGATTAGTTATTCGCCAAGCGACAATTGCGATACTTTGCGGGTGAAACTGGCTAAACAATGTAAGCACTGTTTAAACTTATCAATAGCATACTATGTGTTAAAATGTACTTCAACAACGCAATTGTGCCTCAATGCATTAACAGCTAGTGTAATCAGTGTTTAAATACGTAGCCAGTGTATCTATGATGTGGAGTAAACTGCCAGTAATCTAGACACGTGTTAATTATAAACGCTAACTGATTATAACGCACACACCTTAACACGAATTCATGCGCTAACTAACTGACACAAATATAGCGACGATTTTTTTCAACTATGAGCGAAATACCTTTGTAGTTCCACAGCCATCAACGGGCACGTTGATGTGAGATTTTGCAATGGCTGAGCATGTTTCAATTCCGAAGAAGTCGTGCGTGTACATCACACCGCCGAATTCCCTGTCGAACTTGACCAGCACCACCATGAGTAGTTCGCCATCGTCCCCCATCGCATTACAAGCGACGGATACGTCTGCAAATGTTGTATTGCAATTTATAAAAGTTGTGTTGAGTTATGTATAACTTGTAAACTTAAACTATTGTAGTATGTGTGGGACTAGTAGCTATCAGTTACCTTGCAGTCATCGCCATCTGCAGACTGACCCAGTTCAATGTAAAAATGTTTAATTAACCATCTATTCATGCTTCTCTCTTCCGTCTGGTTAGATTACTTGGAAATGTGCGAGCAAGTATGAGGTAGCTCGTAGTCCAGTGTTAACGATACACGACAGTAGACAGGTAACAGGAGTGGGCCCTGTTAGCTTACTCATTATATAACCACCCTCGAAACAATCAATCTCGTTTGCGTATGCCTACAGCGACCATCTAGTTAGTTAGAGTCAACACGCTAACGTTAGACTGGTGATAGCAATCAAGGCCCATGTTTCTCAGAGAGGGTATAACAGGTCTCAACGTACAAAGCTCATTTCGTGAACAACCAACCCCGCAATTGCCATCGATAAAACTCTGCCTCAACACTAGTCCTTGTTCAGCAGAACTGCTGTAAAACATTCCACCGGCAGCGCGGAAGAGCCGAATGCGTGGGTGGACTCCATTTATCTAACTGTTAACTCGGTGAACACCGCTGTGCACAATTTTGTATCATCCACCTTTTTTTAGGAAAATAAGGAAATACATAGATAGTTTGGATTGGTTTCGCAACTATGTCTTGTTTTCCACTAGACTTCTTCGATTAGCATCCAATTATGAAATTTAATTAAAATCTAATGAAGCTCGTCGTATTTAAATATCAATATGGAAATGTCTACAACCTTGAAAACTGTAATTAAAGTTGAATCTGGAGTCTCTGTGCAAGAGCTTTAGTGAGGGTCTAGATTGGTCTATATTGGGTTAAAAGTCTCGGCCTAGTTCTAGGCATTCAAATTGAGGTCTACTATCGACAGGTCTACTGTCAGGCTACCTGTTATGGCGTTGTTCTCTCGCTGTTCTTCCTTCATCTCCGCTGCTGGGTCTGGCTTCTTTCCGATGGCGCGTGTTTCATAGAAGTCACTTTCCTGGTGCTCACTGTACCCGGCCTCGTAGCGAGCTGAACCCGAAGGGTCGGCACTCCTCCCCGGCATGGGCCACGGAGCTGAGGGCCTCCGTCCTTCATCCTGACCGGCCCGATAACCATCCGGAACATGTCCATTCTGGAATGTTCCCGGTCCTGCTTGTCCCTCCACCGCCTCCATCGGGCGGATTTCCGCATTGCGTAGCTCCTCCTGCGGTAGTAGTGCGGCCGATTCTAGATTCCCCGATGGTGTGCCGCCGCGGTTCGCATTATTCATACCTTGTGATTTCTTTGGCGCACCGGCGCGCTGGCCAGGATAGGGCACGGCAGGTGGCGCGGCTACATCCGCCCCTAAGGGGACCTTTCCGCCACTAGGTGGCACAATCCCGTACACGGGTCCCCGTCCACCGCCGTCCACTTGGGGAGGTTGATCGAGATAGGAGAGGCCAGTGCTCGGGTCTGTCTCCTCAGCAGATGGGTGCGGGGCTATGGCTAGGCCTGGATCGGCAGTATTTTGTGTCCGAGTCGATCTATCGTCATTCTGACAGAAAACCTGCGCAAATTTAAAGAACGGCGTTAGATTGTATTAATAGAACACACACACACACACACACACACACACACACACACACACACACACACACACACACACACACACACACACACACACACACACACAATATATATATATATATATATCCTTACATTTTCTACATACGATAGCCTTCAGCGCCTATATTTACAAACTTCTTTTATGGCGCGCATATAATATGTCAGTGTAGATACGCGTATATGCATGCACTCACCACGGCGATAGAGAGGCAGATTACGAAGACACGAGCGTCGTTCATCGTGTCGTAATACGTGAGGACGACAATGGACGCTGACGATAGTAAGTCTGGAAAAACAATTTGTTGAGAACTATCTAGTCCTAGCTCGTTGCTTCTGTCGGTATGTAATGTTACCGTGATCGCGGTAAGCATACATTTATTGGGATAACGTAAAGTAAGATGATGAGTTGCACGTATGAATGATCGCGTAACATATCATGTAAGATCACGTAAGATTAACGTGTGATTTCGGGATTAAGGCGGTATCATAAATTAACAGATTCACAAGGGTTCAAAAGCAAAATCATTTCCGCAATTTACAATCCGCATCGGATAAACAATTCGCACGTCTATATATCTACAGCGCGATCTATGTATCAGGTATGGATACAGGCGATAGAAGGAAGATACTATCTTACTGCGGACGGCGCTCTGACTCAGGGAACATAGTTTTCCGCATTGCGCCCATAGTTGTTTAGACAACGGCTGGCGAAAGCCGCTCCGCGCTGCTAGTTATCTCTACATTCTCACTCTGCGCCCAACCCTCGGGCTGGGGATAAGGTACGCATGGATGACTCGTGTTTGTTCGCGTTGAGTTAAACCCAAAGCGTAGCTATGTAGAGACCCCGCGTATATGTGTGCACAGCTCCAACACGTTTCTAGTTGGTTTGACCCTGCACAAGAGGTCAAGCTCATTTCATACACCTCTATATTTCATAGGATGCGAAGTGTTACTCTGCCATGCGGATTCATACATAGGCTCAATCATCGTGGCTGCATTACAGGTCCGTTCGTTGAATAGTTATGCGCTACGACATACCCTCAGCGAGAGCTTGTGTTGTTAAAACAATGTTCAAAGTTGCGTCATATTTTTGTATGAACAGCATGCGACTATATATACATGTAATAAAGTTTCATTCACGCACATTTACTTCCGCGTACGAGATTTTCATTTCACTGTTAAGCATGGAGAGCGAATTCGCTGTTTAATTGAGAGCAAATCTGTTCGCCTGTCTATTGTTTTATCGAGACTGACCAGAGCAAAACGTATGTAACGTGTTTGCATACGTGCGTTCGTGCGTGCGTGCTTGCATGCGTTCGGGCGTGCGTGTGTGCCTACGTGCGTGCGAGTGTATGCTTACGTGTGTCCATAATACATGCAATGCATGCCCACAGCAGTCTACATACAAATACCAGCTAGAACATCTCTCTACTTGCATTGCCTATGCGGCGACGACACAAATGACAAAACATATGTGCCTCGTGACGAATCTATTCTACCATATGGATAAACGACCCGTCGTAAACTACTCGATCAGCACATTTTACATCAAAGACTCATTGAAGACCTACGTGGATTTCATTAATAAATGTGGAAGAAGACGTGCGATGTAATGTCAAATCTTACCTGCAGTAAAGTCTCCAAGTGCGATGTAAAACGCAACGCCGACAGTCACTGCGGATGTTCACGCATCAGAACAGTCGAAACATGGCCACGAAGTGTCAGCCGTTCCACTTTCGTGGCTACGGTAGCTGTACGCTCAGGTGCTCACCGGTTGACCCAGTCTCTTACGCGTCGAGATGGGTTGCCACAAAGAGCATCGTTATGCGAGTATCATGCTTGTTGCTTAGCAGACTATTATTGCATTCATGATTAAAACAAACCTGTACATGCCAGCATGACCCTTCGCACAAGCAGGGACAAAAGGGCCCAGTCTCAGTGACGCCGTTAGGGAAACAGGTCGAACGCGAGCCGTTTCCTACGATAATCACCAACTATAGACTACAGTGGTAGCTATAGACTACTCTAGATTCTCGCTGAATTTTGTGTTATTACTTTATATTACTACACATATTTGCAGTAGTCTCAGTTATTAAGCATCGGTATCGAGTAAATCTTGTGAATTGTACTCTGCATCGATCAGAGGAAATTAAGTAGCTATCCTGTTCAACATCCATCAACTCTAAGAAGACATCTTAGAGAAGAAAGGCGTATCTTACATTGAGTTAAGCCTGTGCACATACCATGGATGATGGATGTGCTGCACTATGCTTATATTATGTTTCTCCGCGATATGTCATATTCGCCTGTACTACATTGTGATGCACTATATTTTATGCCATGTTGCGCAATGTCACGCAACGTCAGGTTCTTTGTTCTGAATATTGCTGTTGTGGATATAACGAGTTGACTGCTGTTGTGCGCATGTTAACGGAGCGTAATTTGCGACGGATGTATGCGTGACCTGCTAGCACTAATACTCGCATGTGTTGCTCAATCAACAAAACGTGTGTCTCTGTACTGAGTTGACACCATGGCCGCTACGAACTATTTTCGACACGTCTCTGTTTTAGTAAATGACCTGGCGTACAGTGTTGAACACAACAAGCATTTTTAAGTGGCGGTGAGATCACGTCCTTGTTCCTGTTGTCATTCATCGTAGTGAATCATTATGATAATGAGTTAGCTATAGTAGTGTGTTTTGTTTATAATTCAACACGAATAATATAGTATACAACTAATAGTACAAATAGTAAGTAATAGTACAAATAATAGCATACAACTAGAACACGACTCTGACATTTGTTCCATCCTTTGTTTACAAACTCGACTAATTTTTAATCTTAAATCACCACATACATGAGTCCCCTACTATAGGTTTTCAATGGGAATTCGTCGACTATTGCATGTGCCATTCTACACGTTATCGAATCGCATCATTCATCAGATACGTAAAAGAAGCGTTAATGAAAATAAATATCGGGGTGTATTATTGTTCACGGAGTAACATATCGGCACTGTCGTATTAAAAGAGCCACGTGTGGGAGGGTCAGTTTTACCCGGGATCACAATGTCAAACACCTAAGCACGGAAGAATCTGTTTAAAACGGGTAGAAGAGACGAAATGGAGGGATATTAATTTGGACGTCGCAAAATATATCGAAGAGAAGGTCTTACAGATTTTATCGTTTTTCACGGAATCGATTGTTTTACCCTTCCTCATATTTATTCCATATCGCCCTACTTATTTATATAACATTTCTACGATAATAATGTTATATGTAATTTATACTTGGTTTCTAACTCTTTCTGAGGAAAGAGGTATTAAAATAATATTGACTTTTTCGGTGCATTGTGTTTTGCCTTTAGCGTAGCGCGAGATAGCGTGACACCGTGATGACGTGTTTACTCGTATGACTCCGTAATGCAAAATATAGGCCTATGCAAATTATAATTGACATGGCATCTATTATTGCGAAAACCATGAGTTGTGCTTTTGTTCCCCATGTGTCGTGAGTCTATTACGCCACATTCATGCACTTCGTACTTCTGCATCTATCCAACTGCCGAGAATACTGACGTAGGTCTATATAATAATCAATATCGAGTTTATCACTCGTCAACTCATCGCTTGCCTACACAGCTGTTTCGCGCAACGGCTTCGCAGCAGGTCACGCGTTACCACGTGTATATCTCAATATCTCAATATCTCACGCATACGCCCAAGGTGAGAGTGAAAGAGCGATATGTGACCGTATATTGATTGGCGTAGAAACCCACGTAATCGTGTAGGCATAACAGTTTGCATTGGCGATATTTATGTGATGGATATCTCTCGGATGTGCGTGGTGCTCACTGTTATGTACGCATCAACAGCGCAGTATTGCCTCCCTGTGTCAGCGACTTCATACGATATAGGTAAGTACTAAATGTTTGTGTATTTATGCCACAATATTGAAACCAATATCGTTGTTTTGTTGTTGTTGAATTGTTGATGATATATTTGATCTGTTGATGTTGATGATGTTGCTGATCACATGATAATAACAATGAGTTGCAAAATAAAAACATGCAGATGCATTAGGTCTCGCCTATTGGCAGGCATACTACTGATTTTACTGAATCTAATTTTAAATGCAGATCGGTGCATACATTTCTGAAAAATGTATTGTAAATTGTAAAAATGTGTGTGAGTGTGTTAAGACAGTTAGCTTATCAGAACGGTCGTGAAAATACGAGAATGGTGGGGAAAACATGATAAATCATTAAAAACACGCGTGTGTGTTTATATATATATATATA